TGACGAGTTGAAACTTGAAACACCACGGAGTAGTTTACGAAACATCATGCTGTACTCAGTATACTCGATGAAACGCCTCAGCTGCTTGGTGTGGTAGTTGCCATAGTGACAAAAAACCGACACAAGTATGCGCCAGTGGCATCCAGTCACCTCTGCTCCAAGAACTTTCAACCTCTCCCACGGCTCTTTTCGGCCTCCGCCATCTCGCTCCATAGGGCCTGCTGCCAGCCCTCCTGTGCAGGGCCACTGCCGGGCCTGCTGGCGCTGTGATCGCGCGGAGCCCGGGAACCGGGGAAAACGTCGTTGAGCCACCGAAGGACGGTATGAGGTTCCGAAGCTGGGTGTGGGGAGTCCGACGTGAGCAATCATTTTTCGTTTGGATTCACACAATTGGTGAACATATGTGAAAATGATCAGTTTCTGCGTATAGTTGTAGAAATATGACAATTCGGCCTGGGATCAGAGACCAACTTGAACTTGCCGTTCGGCATCAAACGCTCCTCGCCGCTCCTGACCGCCCCGCCCGACGGCGCCGATCTCAAGCCGATCTCACCATGGCCCACGGGTACGAACCGTTATGTGCCTAGGAGCGATCGGACGCACACTACTAGGGGCTCCTGGCCGTACTACTAGGAACAAGAAGCTACTAGTTACTATATAGGGGCTCGTGGCATCACTACGAGGAGCAAGGACGCTACTAGGGTTGATGTTTGGCACAACATGTCTGTCCACCATGCAGAAAGGCCTTGCCACAAGCTGAACTGTCACTTTGACACTACAGGACAAAGCGATGAGAGGTGACAAGCTGGGCTTTTGTATAGCCCCCTCAAGGCTCTTGCCTCAATTCATCTATAAAATGTACAAAAAAAAAATAACATAATATGTAAGGCTTTGCTAAAATGGAGCTGTCATTTCTGGGGGGCCTGACAGCCAAAACAGAATGGAGAGTATAAGCTTCCGAGAATTCCAAGCCTCAATGAGATCTCCTGTGGCACCTCGCGTGGCCGGTGTGTTTTTTGAAGCCCAAACAACACCCTAGGGCTCCAAGCATCTTCTAAGAAGGTGTTTGGGGTGGGTTTGGAAACCGAACCAACTTCTGAGGATATGGTTGGAGCCCAAACAACACTGACTGACACCCAGAAATGTCCGTGCTTGGTTAAAGAGATTGGATGGACACGAGATATTGCAAGGACCCACCCCGTGTCTGACGGTGAAAATTACTCAAATGTTCGAAGCCAACCGTTGAAATAGCACTCTGCCGCCCTTCGCGCTTCGACAAATAGCCATGAGACCTTTTTAAAAACATGTTTAGCAGCAGCATTCGGATTCAAGGCCTCAAAAGCAGGTCCCAAACAGTTTTGAAGGGCAACCCGGCAACCAGTCTGGGATTCCAGATGTTCCTCTCTCCCCCTACTCACTCGTGCTTAAGTCGGGTCTTGTTCGGGGTCTTTGAAGTGAACGGTGTGGTCACCTCTGCCACCAGAACTATCTGAAGTGAGCTAAGCGTGACCAGTATCAGATAGTAGCGGCATCTTCACCCAAATGCTGGATTCGTGTCGCGTATAAACACCTGCCCATCGATTTGCAACCAAATCGTGTCCAGCCTCCTTTGGCGCTTGATTCAAGACCTCGCAATGCCCGTTGGCAAACAGAAACAATTACTAGAAACCTGGGAAAGAGACAGGAGCCTAGTAGCAGGAAAAGTCCAACATGTGATCATATAGTTCCTCACCACAATGTTGATCATAAACCGCTTGAACTTAGTAAGGCAGTCTCAAAGGCCTTTGCAAATGAACCTCGGGAAGGCTGATGGTACCAGGACCCACTGTCGGGGTGGTGAATGGACATCCCCTTATATAAGAGCACGTCTAATGCGCTATAAAGAGACACCCTTTGGGGGGGGCACTGATGGAGTGTCCAAGGCAAACACTTGGGCGTAGCGCGTCTGGCGCGTCTCACTCAAAATCCCAGTTCCATCTGGAGGGTTCGTATAGTTCAATGGTCCTGCGGCTCAGTGTGGTTCATTGCTCCACCTTAGCTAAGAGGACCCAACTTGGCTCCCGACCAAGGGCATTGACAGTGCTGCCATAGCTAAGAGGGCAGTGGAAAGGTACCACATTGGCTTTGGTTGACCTTGGCTCGCTTGGCAGGTGCCAAGCACTGAAGAGGACTGATGTCCCCATCGCATGGCCCAAATGGCCACTTTGAATTCATGCCTTTAAATATCTCAGAATACTCAACAGCCGTCTGCTTGCTGGCAATCCACATAGTATGTCCCAAACCCGTGGGCTCGCACAATTTGCGTGCCTTTGATGAATAATCTATAATATATATACACCAGGTGCTTCGAAGTCCTGTCCATTGGACGCCCCTTAAGCTAAAAACCATTGGACACCCAGTAGAAATCTAAGTGTTTGACAAGTGCTTTTGAGGGATCCTCGTATAGAATCACAACTTTTTAAGGGATACTTGTGAATGGACAGGATTGATTCGGGTCGCTGGAGACGTCAGCCGCCTGCTTGTCAATCCGTGTCTTTCCGTGTCGGTGGTCAAAACCCGAGGAAACCAAGGGGTGCTCATTGGTCACCCCTTAAGCCTATAAGGAGTGTCCAATGGACATACCTTAAGAAAACCGATGTAAGCCCATACCGTGTCATTCCGTGTCATTCCGTGTCGCCCGATCTCAGATTTCGTGGTTCTACAGTTCTACCTTGTCCTCTTACATCGGGATTATTTTCACGTTGTTCTCTTAAATCGGAATTGTTACTTAGGTTCTCTTACATCGGGAATGTGTTACTGAAAGGGGTGCTCATTGGACGCTCCTTACAGAATCCAGGGTTCACGAGGATAGTCCCTTCTGTTTTGCGAGCCCATTTCGGTCGAATCGGCTAAAATTGCTCGATTTTGTGCAAATGAGCCACACACTCCGCAGGCACTACTGTGGTTCAAGGTTGATTCTTGGTAATGTCTGCGGTCTACTCCAGTTTTGTGATACATTTTTGCCTCGCCCACTTAAATAAGAAGGGCAGTGGTTCATGCACTGTATGTTAATGCTAAAAAATGTTCAACACAAGCAAACCTGCTGTTTTCTTGCTTCCCCACCCTCCTGCCATCTTGCTCCCCACGAACTCTCACCCAAAAAGCCTGATGTGTTTTGGACTCACCGAGGCGCTCTCTTTCCGCCGGTACAGGGTGTAAGCTCCCCCGGCCACGGCTAGTCCAGGCGTAAAGACCCAAACAAGCGACAACAAATAGCTCCTTAGGTGATTCAGGTCGTTCAAAACGACACGCAAAAATTCTCCACCACCGACGGTGACAGTCGGTTTTGAGGGATGCAAAGGCCCGGCAGAACTGCCCTCGGCAGAACTGCCCTCGCCACTTGCAGTTCACTTGCCCAACCTTTCAAGTTGAAGGTGGCTAGTGTTGAGGAAAGTGTCTACTTCTTGCAAGATGCTTCAACCTATGCTCTGCTGCGGTATGCATGTGCTTGTCCAAGATCAAATACCAGAGGCTACGATCCACGTGTTACTCTTCTCTTGCGTGGTTGGCTTTAGCTCTGCTGAGCAAGAAAGATAATTGCGACCAAGGTCAGCCCACTTAATTTAAGTCCTTTTCAGCTGAGGTTGCTCTTGATCAAATCACCACCCCAGTTCATTGAAAATGGGCGACTTTATGAGTTGCGGTCACGCTGTCCGCCCCTCAAAAGCCCTTCCACTAAGTGGGGTGCTCGAGGGTGTAACTATGATGACAAAAAAACAAGATGACGGGAAAAGAACACATGCAGCACAAAGCTTCTGTGCAACCCCAAAGCTATCAAAAGTACCCCCAAAGCTTCTGTGCACTCTCCCAGAATGGACGACAAAATCAAGACAAACATCGACCATTCTCTGTCCCCATAGCCCCTACCCCAAAAAATCGATACAGCATTGAATATGAAATGACCCCGATATACCCCGTTTAAAACAGGAACAGCACCTCTCCACTATAGAATCCAGATGTAGAAAAAACGACCCCCACTTTTTCACGGCTGACCGGTCCAACCCGAGCCAATCGCCTCGCTGTCTCCGAGCCACGTCATCGTTTCCACCGCCGAGGCGGCGCCTCCGGCGGCGAAGGCCGTGGCGGCGCCGCTCCGCCAGGCCACTCCAGCGAGCGCCAAGCCGAGCGCCACCACGGCGCGGGAGCTGCGCCCGGCGCGGGCCTTGGGACGGTGGGATGGCGACAGATCGGTTCCGATTGATTGGACATGTCAATGGCTTGGGTCTATCCTAATACCTGTAACAGGGGATGATGATGGGTAGTAAAGGCCTTGTTCACAAAGTAGTAACAATTGTTGACTGACTGTTGCAGGCAATAGGACAAACCCAATCAATGGCCTTTTCAGGAAGAAGCATGACTGTAGCTGTCACCATGGCCAAGATACGATCATCCGCAGCGCGGCCGTCATGTTGGCAGAAATGGGTTCTAAAGCCTTTGAGCCAAAACTCACCAGAATCCAGCATCAGAGATTGAGTCTTGAAACAGCATGTTTGGATGAACCTCTTGGGTCTCTTGGGTCAGAGGTTGAGTCTTGAGCCTTGACCAGTCTCTTAAGTGACAAAGAATGCAAAAGGGGGTTGTGGACATCTTGAAACTACCACTATTCCTCTGCCAGGCCCCCCAAACTCAAAGTGTTGAGGGTGAACATGAGACATCACCAAACCTTGAAATGACATGTGGATAGTTTCTATCAATGACATACACCAGTTCTTGCCCAAGGGGGGCCAAAGCTCAAAGGAACCAATGTAATTACTGTGCCTCACATACACAAACACACAACTACAGCATACTACAGCTATTTAACTGTTGTTGTCTTTTGGCTTCTTGACTGTCTCTGTGTGTGAACTTTTGATATCACAAGGTGTTATAAATGCTTGATCAAACGGGATCAATGTCTGAAGGACAACTCAATGCGACCCACGAACCCTCACCCTCACATGTATGAAGGCCGCACACACTGCCTGTTGGGCATTCATCTTGGCAGCCAGCCTTAAAAAAGGTTGGATTGTAAGTGATCTTGGAAGAACTTGCAGATGTGACAGCAGTAGCTCCACTGCCCTCCGATGCTTGTCCTAACATGTCCTGACTACCAGGTTCCATGGAAGCTACGCCCATGCCTTGCATGTTTAGTTTGATCGAAGTCTTCTCACCAGGTACAATCAGCCACGGTACTTTTGGATGTTTTTTTGGGATCTGCAATTTAGGATTAAAGGACTTGCAACCTGTTCTTCTGTTTTAGATGTTCGATTCTGTGGCTGGGATGTTCTTCAGCAAAAACAACATATTTTGCACAAACAACCCCCTCGAAGATTAAGACAAATTTAATCAAATCCTATATATGCTTTCCCTATATCTTCACCCCATGTCCGAACTTTTTGAGGCCACCGCTCAGAGACTGGGGCCGATCGTGGTCGCCAAGCAAGGTCCTGGATGGACAGCTCGTCCCGACGCTCCAGCGTCCCTCGTTTGGTTGCAGGCCTCTTTGTCTGGCACGTCGGCCATGGGATCTATCGGCCAGGGGCGGGCAAGTCTCAAAGGTGTCCAAAAAGAAGATGAAGATGGATGAAGACATGAAGACATGAAAACGATGCTTATCTTGGACAGGAAGAAACCGGGCAAGAAGGTGGAATCTTCGGGTGAGCCATGGAAGCTGTGTGAGCAGATTGGATGGCCATGGGTGACTCAACGAGCACAAATCAATCCTTCCAGCTCAGTGGGAAATCACAAGTTCGCCAGGCCCCTTGGCTTACAGAATGAATGTGGATCCAGAGTTCAAGCCAATATTGGGCATTCTCATCTACTCCCAAGCTGTTTCAAAGGGAGAGGATTCCTCTACATGTCCTGCTCCTTCCATTTTCATGCACTCTTGATTCACATCAGCATCAGAAACATGCCCAACCCTTTTCCGTTGGATGAATGAAACTGCATTCGAGATTGATGGTCCTGGATGTCTTTGGGATTGTCATTTCCAGGGGATCCAGTTACACAAAACTAGCGGATCCAAGCAGTGGTTCCAAAAACTGAAGCCGCAAAGCTAAAAGTCCTAGTTCCTGAAGGCCCAAGTAGTCACTGATGGTCACTGTGAACCTCTGGGCCTCTGGGACCACTGAAACGTATACGGCCCTCATGTCATGTCCAGCCAACCAACGCCAGGCGCCTCACGGACCAACCCAGTCCAAACGGCTGGCCACTCCGTCCTGGATCTCAGACCGACCCCATACGGGACGTCCAGCCGGTGAGGCGGAAGAGATGAAGAGATACATAAATACATAAAAGGTGCTGTATCCAACTGTATCCAAAGAAAAGCATTTGGGAGTTGGGAGGAAAATCGATCCCACTTCGAGCAGTGATGTTGATGTCTTAGACATATGTAGGATTATGTAGGTCTCGAGGCGACGCAGCATTTCCAAATCAGGTCTCATATAGGTCTCATATAGGTCTCTTGGTTTTGTATCAAACCGCTCCACATCTCCTCCAAATTCGAAAGCTCCTCTGGCTCTGCGTGCAAAGCTGGAAATGCCTAAGCGCCCCCAAGGCCAAGTAGGTCCAAAGAGACGGTTCAACTTAAACTGGTGCAGTCATCCGATGGTCATTCGGGGTAGCTTCCAGGAATTGAATCTCGCTCCAGGCCTTTTCCCAGCGTTCCGTTTTCCATGGTTTTTCGTGACCTTTGCACTCTTGGAGTTCCTCTTTAGTCAAAGCACATCAAAGTACCGGTCAAATTCGGACGTTCCTTTTCAGCACGCGTTAAACAGGTGGGTCAACAGACTGAAAAGCACCCTCCGGCATTCGTCTGTGTATGTTCAGCTCAGTTGAATCGCCCCCACAGTTCTTCAACATGAGAAAACATGAGAAAAGCAAAGGACCTCTCTCTCTCTCTCTCTTTGGCGGCAACATAAACCGACCATATCCAACATGAGCCACCCTGATTGCAGAAGACTTCCCTTTGCATTGTTTGACATTGTTTGACACAGGATTCAGTGTCTATTCCTCTCTTCATCCGTCCTCCTTTCAGGGCTTCAGATCAACCACCCGATCTCCTTTGAAAAAAATCCACCCGAGAGCGCTGCGCAAGGATCTGAGCCAAACCGGTCGCTGGGGTGGCCTGACCACTGTGGCGGACCGTGGTGCCACGCTCAACTCGATTGGACCGAGTGACTGAGTGACACGGACTAGGTGACCGAGTGAAAAGGGTTTTCTTTACATCTCACTTCCTTCAGTTTTCGATACTTTCTCATACATCCTCCTAAAGCCTGTCAGTGAAACGAACGAAACATGACTGAATACAACTGATCATGCCAAACGTGGATAATGGTGCAGGATTTAATCAGTTACTTATCTGTGTCGCTGTAGCTTTACTTGCTGATTCCCATGCAATAGAACTGATTGGCAGGACACTCCGCAAACAGCACCTGCGATTGGCTGGACATCTCCTGACGTCATGTCGAAGTTGAACAGCCCTTGAATCCAATGCCAAGAATACAATGCATGCATTGTAACTGCACGAGAGGATCATTTCACGGATCTCGATCTTCTCTGAATTGTACGGCAAAGCGAAAGGACCGCTGAAAGAGGGTGGAAAAGCGCTTCATGTTCTTTTTGCTTGTCGTATGCAGCATACTGTCTGTAGACTGTCTGTCCAACTTGGACAAGTTGAGAGGGATCTCAGAATCATGACCAAAGCAGGACACAGGTCACAAGAATCATGACCGACTTGGAAGTTGCCGTGTGCAGGTCACAAGGCAACAGTACCACTGCAAAATCGTTAGACCCACCCACTGGTTTCCACACATTCCAACTTTTTTCTGACACATCTACATACGACTGTTGCTCAAAAAGGGTGCCATCCAATCCCACTGGTAAATGCAAAAAAACAATCAGTCAGTCCACATTTATAGTTCTACACATAGTGGTTCAGCACTCATGAGTCATACTTCTTGCACATCTTGCAGCATAGTCTGCACTGGCAAACTGTCAGGTGAGTACAAACAAAAGCATAGGAAACAATATTGACCATTCGTCAACCAAGTGTTAAACGATAGAAACAATACAAACAGTTGGCTCCTCTTGGCAATTCAGTGAACTCCTAAACCACTGCGATCCCACTGCGCCTGGCTCAGTTGGCCGAGCCAAGCCAGCTCGCGGTCGTCCACCGGCTGGGAGTCCTGGCTATGCCTCGGTCACGCTGAACCAGAGATCGACCGGCGGCCCGCTTCGCTCGCCGGGGTGAGTCTTCTACGGGATTTTGGGGGGCCCTGTTCGTGGAGTCTGGAGTTGTGGCCGCGCTGCTGCATGGCTCTGTCACATTTCTTCCCGGTTTGGTGGGCTTGTCGTCTCCGTCTCCCCGTGGGGATCATGCTGAGTCTACAAGTCAGGTTGGACACAGAAATATCTCGCCGAGTACCCAGCGGGTTTGGGGCAATTTGAAGAGCCAAACATAGCCAAACTTTGTGTGTGTGTGTCTGTTCGTAAAGGGAGCAAAAGTTCCAACACTGGAGATGAGAACTCCAAGTAGTAGAGCTGGCAGTGTAAAATGGAATGGTTCTGATCTTGTTATAGAAAAAAGAAGCAAACAACATGAGGCAGGTTGTGTATTTTAATAGTGAGACACCAAACCCGTTGGTCTAGTTTCTTCCAGGGTGTCAACCTGTGAGGTCTCCCAATACTAATTATTGTTTCTACCAGCTTCTTGTTACTACTAGTAAGGCACTTGTTACTAGAAGCGATGCACTTGTTCCTAGTAGACCCCCGGGCCGTCGATTTCTATCGCTCCGGGTCAAGGGCCCTGGGCGCCGGTGCTGCGATTTGTGCCTCGTCCGCCGCTGCGGTTCGCTCCGGGACCGCGAGCGCCTGCGGAGGTGGGTCCATGCGGCGGAGCTTGGTTTTGGGGAGGCGTCGCCGGTGGCAGAAGGCGAAGGGAAGGGAAGTTGATGTATCAATCCTCCGTTCTTGGACCTGGTGCTGTTTTCTTTCATAAAGGATCAATCATTGTGAAATATTCCAGAATGTTCCAGACAGCTCGACCTGGAAAAATTGCTTCAAGTACTGGTGAGAGGCCCTGAGAGGCTGTGAGAGGACATTGCATGCAACATGCATCCAAAGCAGGAATCTGGCTGGTTTCCTGTTGTTTCATGTTGCTTGCCTATAGGCCAAAGATCGCCCATGCAATATGCCATTGATGCATGAACCCATGGAACGGCTTCTCACTCATATCAACCTTCGCTGAGATCCACACATTCTCTGCGTTCTCTGTCCAAGGTTTGATACCAACAAAAACTTGTGTGGAGCAGGGCAGGGCAGGGCAGCCTGCTTGAACCTGTCTTGCAATAAGCAAACTAAGTTGGATGACAAATCACCCAACAATCCCCGAGATCTACTCATTGAAAACGCTTCAGCCCGCTAAGACCACTGGTCCGCGCTCCAGACCTACCCGCGCTCCACCGCCGGTCCGCGCAGCGTTTGCCTTCGGGACTCCCGTGACCTCACCAGCTGAGCACTCGGTGCACTCCCGTGTCTGTGGGTGTTTTCAGCTCACCCCACACTTCTTTCCAACTAATTTGTTCCAATCATCAATCAAGGCACGAATACTGCGTATTCTGAAAACGCCATGTGCAAAGAAAGAAAACAATGGCACCCACAACAACCCATACTGGATGTCAGAACATCGTTGAGGTCCTTGGATCATGAGACTTGCTAGTTCACTGTGGTAGTCATTTGGGAAGAGTCCAGAGTTTGTAACCACGAAGTCTTCCTGAAACAAATCACTCCAGCGAAGATACACGTCTTCCCTCAAGAGATTTTGATGCTTCAACAGTTATCTCTGGAATGGGATCCCGATAAAACAAGTTTTTGAACAAACTTCAAACCTGGGTTAACCCCGATGGCCAAAAGGAAATGGTAAAATGATGTAAACAATGGCAAACCTGGGCTCCACACTCTTGAAAGAAGGAGCACTGCAGGGCCCTTGATGCTGTGCACCTGGCATTCAGGACAAGCTCGACGTTGTTTTGAAAAGCGCAGCTTCTTTGACTCAAGTCAGGTCGAGCCAAAGAAGGGTTCTTCAGGCCGGCTCAACTTTCAGAGTGTTTCAAGGGCCTCAAGGCCTCAAGGGATGGTGTATGGGATTCAAGGAGCTTTTTCAGGGATGATGCATGTTCTGTTGCTCTTCACACATGAGGGGGGAAACAACGGCACCGGCACCACCCGATGTTCTTGGCGGTCCATCTGCCTGAAGTCAAGTTTTGGAAGATCAGCGAATATGAGTCGATGTTCAACCATCTTGTAGAACCATCTAAGCCATCTACGAATCTACCATAATCTACCTATTTACGCTATTTAGAGCTGGCACACCGAATTTCTTTTCACAAACACGCTTCACCGGACCAGTGTGCACATCCGATGTATCGAACGTCAGGTCGTCACCGGTCACCGGTCGTCGGCCGGCGCCTCTCCGCGGGATCCAAACGCAACAACGTGGAGAACAGATCGATGCCGGAAGCCTTAGGGCCGCCGTTGGCACAGCGTTGTTGTCAAAAAAAACTGCAGAGGATGTAGTCCAAGTGCAGGCTGGGAAGTGCAGTCTTTATATAAGGAAGCTGTTCATTCTGTTCCCAACATATTGTGGGTGTTGCAAAGGTTGCTAAGTTGCTGTGTTTTGCATTCTGAAAATATGTACCAACCACCAGGCGGGCTGACCTTAACCTCGTTCGCTGAGAAGCATGGCGCATTTGCTGGATCTAAAGGCCCCTACGACCGATGTGTCATTTCTAAGGAGTTGAGCATGGTACGTCAACAATGAGTCCTATTTTGGACTAATAACACTGCACAAGAATCAGTTGGAACCAAAATAGACTTGATGTAGCCACAAGAATGCCTAGAGATACTTGTGCTTTCAGCTCTGATGCCTTTTCTTCAACATTGCCGTTGGTATCCACAGAATTAATGTCCTGGAGCACAGAACCTGATTCAGTGTATACTTACCAGCTCTTGACAAAAGAACTCCCAAAGGACTAAACTAAAAGTCTAAGTATAGAGTATACCGCATGCCGCCAATCCGATCTGACCACAGCCACTGCTGTGCTGGGTTTCCCAACCCCCAGCACTCGTCCAAGTGTGCTCACTTTGTTGTAGACATCCATTCGGTTCGCCAAGTCCTTCGACAAATCCCGCACAAACAAATTCATCATAAAAACCCAATGAATAAGGTTTAAGATTGTAAACCAACCTTAATTTAAACCATGTTCAGCTACAGGGACATCGTTGGAAGTTTCGCAAGCTGCGAATGTCCCGACGCCGCCCTGGCAGTCTCGCAACGCGCCAAGCTGAGCTGGTCCATATGGCCCAAGCAGTCCTGCAGAAGTAGGATTGCCTGCGTTGCAACTGGCAACTGGGGGGAACTTGCAGACCTGTTCGGAGGAACATCTTCAAATGCTGGGTCACATTGAAAAAAAGCGTATGTTCACCGCTTGAAACCACTGAGAGTGCTTTGCCATTTCAGTTCGTTCTCGCCACAACGGATTTGATCTCTGGAACTGTTCATCCTCCACCGGTGACGCTCCATCCGACCGAACCCCTTCGCCCGACCGTCCCCACGCGTTGCCTCTGGGCCACCAGCCACCGTGCGACGGAAGTCAAAGGGTGGCCACTGCGGAAACCTGCCAAAGTCCCAGTCGCTGTCCTTCACTGTGGCTTTCTTTTAATGAAACCTATCTTTGTAAACCTATCAGAATCAATCTGTGTGTGGGGAGACACCTACTAAACCACGGCGATCTACTTGAGAGACTCATGTCTTCTACAAACCTAGGATTGGGAACCAAACCTTTTGAAATGTCGGGGTCACGTCGGCTTGGCTGATCAAAAGGCATTTTGTCCCTCCGCAACACTTCACCCACCCAATCCAACCGCATACTGTGTCACTGTCAAGCTCGTTTGAAGGATGTTGGATGTTGGATGGTAAGTCGCCAAGCGGGTTTGGCTCATACACGAAGACCCTCACGGGGAAAACCATGGAAAGCCGATGTACAAATCCTGTGGGCATTGTCGCACCCAGGAATGCGGCATACCTTACTTAGTAAGCCTTACTTGGTCGGGAAACCATTTCGCCAAATGACCAACTCATGAAAACAACACTTAGAAATACAGTATACATCCTGGATCATCCTGGGGCAGGTCCCCCACGACGCCTCTCTGAGACCCCAACTTCACTGAGAAGATCTTTGAGCACACCGCCTCTGGCCAATGGTTGGGCCTCGACGGTGGGTTTTGAACGGTCAAATCATGCTTCTGACAAGAGTGAAACCTCGGATCAGTGGGTGATCCAGGTCTTTCGGTCTTTCCTAGATCCATGCTTTCATCGGTGCTTTCTCTGACCACTTGCTCAGTGGTTGTTTCGAATGGAGAAACTGGATCAGTCTCATTTAAATCGTGTTCCAAGTGCAGAGGTGCCGGTCTGGTAGGGTGCTGTCTTGGCATCGAACATCTGACGGTTTTTACTTGGGGGAGTCACAATACTCAAAAGGGCACACAGCAAGTAATTGGCAAGGGAATAATATTTGAAGGTGAATGCAAGATACTCAGCCAATCGCAGCAGATTTGCGGGCTAGTCGAAGATGTCTATATCGACAGCGTATAGCGCAATGCTGGGCTTTGCTCCAGATGTATGTGTATAATTGTGTATTTATAATATATTATATAATTAGATAATATTAGATAACGAAGAGATGCTAAAAGAACTTGGCTAGAACAACACCAATCGCCGACAAAATGCTGGCCTTTCGCGATGACAGTTTGACGACCGTCGACGCTCAAACCAACCATCATCCGCCTTCATCATCTTCATCTTTGCCCAAATTCGGAATCGAGCATTCTTGCAACGGACATTCACGATCCTTCCCTTTGGGCCACGTCCACGTCCGCTGCCGTGATTTTTCAGTGTAAGACCTGCAAAAGAACGACTCGGTAGACCTGAAACTGGGTGAAGGTGGATACCCTTCGGCCATGGAGTGGTGCAGACACCGGTCGTGCCCACCGACCGGGGCCACACCTGAAAGCGGTGGATGCTCACGTCTGAGCATCCACACCCTGGTGTGCCAAGCAAGCGAAAGATCTGGAAGAGGTGGCCAATCTGGCGAGGTGAGTCCAGTCGATCTCAAACTCTGATCTGAACAATTAAGAGGAATTCTAGTTGTCAAAAAACATCTTCATCCATGGGACTTCTTTGATCAAGAAATACTGAAGTCCAAAGCACCAGTTGAACTGGTGCGTTACTGAAGCACCAAACTGCTGCGCTGACCCATGGGTCTCTCCTACAAGTAAGTGTGAAGAGACTCTCCAACTCCCTCTGCCTCATCATCTGCGGAAAAGAGCGCATCCTGCAGGCAAGCCTTGCCGCTTCTTCTCCGCGAGGCTCCCGACGTCGGCGTGCCGCGCGGCGCTCTGAGCGGCTCTAGCGGCTCGGCGCATGCAGGTTGCTGTCCGATTCCCCAATCCGTCAAGGGTGACCAAGATCTCGTCCCCATCCATTTACCAGAAGCGAAACTTCAGGCAGACTAGCAACTGCGTCTGGGAAACAGCATGCTTTCATGCTTCAGTCCAGTTGGCGAGAAGTGGTTGTACACTGCTCAGCGCCTGGACAAGAATTTCTACTGTTCAATCTTTCCACGCCGTTGTGCAAGTCAACTGGTTCGAGCCCCAAATCAAACGAAGGAACAAATGAATCCAAATCCTATGGGACTCCCGGCATTCCTCATCAAAAACAAGAGCACCAAACCATGAACTGGGCAACTCCTGTGGTTTGCTGGGCCCAAATCAGCCAAAGAGCAGCCCGCCACCCACACCGCCCTCCTCCCCCCACGTTCTCCCGTTGGTGACCTCAGCCAGCAGGCATCCCACTGCCCTGAAACAGCAAGTCAGGCTTGCGGCTTGCGGCGTTCGCCATGGAAAGGGATTGAGAGTGGATGGAAAGCCATGGGTTGGCCGATCGGGTGCCAGGGGTCCTGTTTTTGGAGCACCGAAAACCATGCGTTTCTGTCGCAGATTGGTGCTGGCCATCACCTTACGCCGGACGCTTGGGTGATTTCTGAACTCTGTTGTTGCGCTTCCATCTACCATGGCCCGCTTAGGGGTGTCTAATAATAGCCCCTCGAAAGTTAAGGGATGTTCATTGACCACCCCTTAGGGGGCCTGGTATTCGTTGACGCTTCAGATTCTGCAGTCCAAGACATCTAAGACGTGACCTGAGCAGGTCGAAAGGTCACCATCCAAGCCATGTTCGGCGATTCGGGGAGGCTCCACCGGAAAGAAACAAACTGATCCGCAAGAAGTTGGCACAGTCTGTGTGCGTAGGAAAACTATGGAAAACTCAAATAAATCTAGTCTGTAGGACTCAAACATTGTGCTTGTTGCCCCATCGACGAAACGCGCAGGGGGTCGATTTCCGCTGCCCCGCTGAGGCGTCGGGCCATATATCAATGGCTGGGCCGTAGACCTCCTTTCTTGGGGAACATGCAAAGACAGCATTGGCCGTATGGCTTGCCATGTGGCTCAGAGTCTCCAGTTCAGCTATCTTACAGTACTTCACCCAGAGATTTGAGTCATACCTTTGCCATGCTCAAGTGACACTCATAAGAGAAGACACTCGTGTCTTCTGTCTTCTTCTATTGATCGTCTGCCTTCTCTTGCCGCTCGGAAGCTCGACCATCAATGCCATCCATAATATATAGCGCTTTTTCGAGATCCAACATACAAACAAATGACTTCGAGAAGACGGCAGGACGGGAGTTCAACTTGCACAAAGGGATCTAGAAAGGAGGACCTTGCTTGGTGTTGCTGCTGACTTTAGATCGAGCCTTGGTTTCTACATCACATGCAAAAGATTGGCCACTGGGCCACATAGACTCAAAGAACTCATGTTGGGCCTTCCGCAAGATCATCTCCGGGGCCAAGTAGCGCAACTTGCATTTCTGGCGAGCTGGCCACGAGCGATAACTTGTGGCCCAGAGGGGGGTGGCGAAAGCTAGGCAAAGAAACAACGCTGGGGCTCTTTAGGCAGCAAAAGCCTGGCCGGGAATCGCAACATGCCATGGCCAAGGGAAAAGGAGAGTGCCAACAGCGCCCCCCCAATACGACCCCAACACAGCCAACACATGGCAACACACAACCACCCCAGCAACCGCAGCAGCAGCAGCAGCAGCAGCAGCAACAGCCACAACAACAGTAACTGTAACCAGCAGCGGCAGCGGCAGCAAGCAGAAGCTACCAAGCAGCAGCAGAAGCAGCAGCAGGAGTAGCTAGCAAGCAGCAGCACCAGCTACCAAGCAGCAGCTACCAAGCAGCAGCAGCAGCTACCAAGCAGCAGCAGCAGCATCAGCAGCAGCTACCAAGCAGCAGCAGCAGCATCAGCAGCAGCCACCAAGCAGCAGCAGCATCAGCAGCAGCTACCAAGCAGCAGCAGCAGCAGCAGCAGCAGCAACCAAGCAGCAGCAGCAGCAGCTACCAAGCAGCAGCAGCAGCAGGAGCAGCAGAGCAGCAGCAGCAGCAGCAGCAGAAGCTACCAAGCACCACCAGCTACCAAGCAGCAGCAGCAGCAGCAGGGAAAGAGTGAGCTTTCCTTAGAGTCTTTCGTGCCCCAACATTTGGTCTCGAACAATAGCACATACAGGTGCTGCCTGAGTAATTGTAGCAGGGCGACGTGGAAAGACAGATATATCTGATATATCTGGTTTTTCAACGAATAAATGCTGACGATGCAGCCAGCAGCGGTGTGCATGATTGACATCTAGGGGTTGCATGCGAACATGTGTCAGCGACCGAAGATTCCGTCGCAACGCTTGTGCATGCTCCCTGTCGCTCGAACATGCAACGCGGAATACCATGAGTGAAGCAAACAGCCCGTTCAAACATCTTACTGGGTTCTGTCATTCATGTGTGTAGAAAGTATCATCGTTTGATCTGCATGGATAGCGGATAGTGCATTCTGATTTGTACTCTTGGGGGTTGTGGGGTGGGTACATGCCTGTACAAGTTTCTTAAGGATATAATGAAATTAGTATCGCTTCACGACTCAGAGGGAATGCAACTACTCTCAATTCTAACGAATAGGCTTTCTTCAGCACCAACAGCAGCCAACAACCCCAAACAGCAACAGCAGCAAAACGGAGCAGACAACAAGCAGCAGGCAGCCAGCATCCAGCAGCCCAGCAGCAGCAAGCAAGCAGCAAGCAGCAGCAGCAGCGACCAAGCAGCAGCAGCAGGTACCGAGGAGGAGAAGGGTGGAGTTGAACCCCGCGGGGGGGGTGTAGTCCTGATATATCAGGTAATAGCACTCAGGTCCTGGGCTCCCACCCTCCTTGCTAAAGCAAGACAGACTCCAGCTAGCTACAGCTAGCTTTCGTGATTAGCAGTCATGACCACTCAAAGAAGTGACCAAAAGGTGAACGGCCAATCGGGTGTATTGAATCTTCAACGTTGGCAGGTAAAAAGTAGCCTACTATATAATTATTTGCAGGTCGATTGAAAATCGCAAAATGTCCTGCAAATAAACGGAGAAGTTGGGTTCAAGCAAGTCACAACAATGGTTAAGTTGGGGAAATGATCTTCTTTGTGCACCGTGCGATGGACCTGCTCTACTGGTGCTACCCCAAATGCAGGCTCCCTTCGAGGTATCTGGTGCATGTGTCGTTGCTCTTGGAATCTTTCCGTTCTGCTTTCATTGGACCCTATTCAGTTACCCACGCGTTGCTGACCCAGGTCATAAAGCCATATCTGTTTGAGGAAATCAAGTGTTCGATCCTGAAGTTGATCCAGTGGATCTTCCAATCACGTGTCAGGGCCTCAGTCTTTGCCACCCATGTTGTGGCCACTCAGTCCCATTACTTCTCGCCCAGAGAACACGCATGCCTCGCGCCCCGAGAGATCACGCACTCGCTCTTCCTGAGTGACCCCGGGCCCGGAGAAGTCGGCATCCCAGCCGAGACATGTTTTCTGGATCTGTCTGGAAATGATCCATGCTTTCAATATTTTCTGATACTTCTGTATGGAATGGTTTTCTGGATTCACCCACTTTCTGCAGGATTCTATGCTTTTCTGATACTTCTTTCACTCACTCTATGTTTGCATTCGCCGCCCGATCTGCACACATGATAAGATTCACCGTGCAATCTCTAAATCTCTAGGCCAGGCACCAGAGGGGTGTAGGGGCGTAAGGGCTCATCCATCCCTCGGCCATAGCAAAGATCGCAGAGCTTCACCACTCCATCGCAAGTGATCAAGACCTCAGACACGAGGTCCGTCGTCCGTACCCAAGCAGATGGGGACGGAGATCGAACGGAACCGAAGGAGTTCGAACAGAATGCACCTGATGTTGGAGAGAACCATCTGCCAGCTCCAACGCTTCCTTCTTTTACAATGCCAGTTCCAGCTCTGAATCGATTCTAAGCACTTCCACTTTGTACAGCAAATCCGCATTGGGCGGGATGCCCTCTTCCTGACTTCCCTGACTTCCATAGGCTAAGCGCGAGGGCACGTGGAGCTGGGCTTTGGAACCCAAGGACAGCTGCTGAATGCCTTGTTCAAAACCGCGTCCTGGCCCAGAGTCTAAGCCTTAGAAGTTCACGAAGAGAAGTCACAGGTCTTCAGGTGTCCCTGTGGCACGAAGAAATCACAAGTGATACACTAGAAATCACAACAACTACTCCTCTATATAGTGGTCATCTAATGGTGGATATGGCTTAAACATCAAAGGAAACACTGCAAACCCAGCACACCACAAACCAACATCTGAGTGTGACTGGGTCTTGTTTTCTGAGCACCTGCATTATTTGTTGTTGGATACACTGATCCCTTCTTCTTGAGCTCAGACCCGCTGAATCCCATTTTTTCGCTGCTGCCGTCTGCCGATGCGATCGATCCGTTCTACTTCTGCGTCCGGACCGGGACCCATCGATCCGCTTTTCTCCGACGATTCGATGAGCTGCGAACATCCGATGACCCGCTGACGGACTGAGCTGCGCATTGCAGTGTTTCTACGCGACGATGATCCGATCCGAGGATCCGATGAGCAATCCGAAGCGCATGAAGGCTACCTTTCGTGATATGTTTGTTCTCAGCAAGGAATGAGCAAACACAGAAGTTGCCCTGTGACATTCGACATTACGAGGCAAACACATGGGGAGCAGCTACATGCCACTTGAGGCCAATTAAACTTGTTTGGATCGAACATGTAAAATACATCGGGCCAAATGTCAATATATACCACTGACTCCGTCCCCTCGATCTTGGGGCGAATTCCCGTGTTTGCATGGTTCGTTGCATCAAGACACCCAAATGGTACTGCATGGGGTCGCCAGCTCGAGTGCTTGAGAGCAGCTTCCCAGACTCCAGCCATAGCTCCATGTGCAAAGTCACCTGAGGCTCGTGTGATCTGCGTTCCGAGCGATCTGCCCGAGGCCGTTTCTCCTCTGTGACTGGACCACCCGGTGACCCCGACGGGAAGAGGATCCCTGGAGAGATCCAGTCACTCGCCCGCACACCAGTCATCAGGGCCCTTGAGCGGCCAGTGATTCCTTTCTTCGAGTTGTTGGAAGGTCTGCCAGGTGCGAAGAAGACATGTCAAGACTCCCTCCATCATCCTCCATCCAGCTATGCACCAACATCACCAACCCAGCTTGAGGTGGTGGCGCATTCGGTTCTTAGTCTTAAGCTGTAAGTCCTGCATCCCAAAGGCCACTTCAAAGACTCAAAGACCCTGTCTGACTGACTAAAAGGGCAGGATCCTACAGCATCTGACACAGAAAGAATTGGCGGGTATTGGCAGTGGTGTGTGCATCTTACGGTAAAGGTAATGCCTATAGACATCGCATGGCCATCAACCACATCTCCTACAGGTTTGGAGAGGAATCCAGGGGTTGGCTATGTTTCTTTTTCCAGGATATTTTTGGCCACTTGGTGGGGTCCAAATCACAATGTGAGCTCCGCTCGTCCCTCGGCGATCTATTGAAAACCAGCTCAGTTGGGTCATCTCAAGCCGCTGTCCAAGTCGCCAAATCTCCAAAGTTGGGATACGTCGCCCCATCTCCAGGGCTCAGCAGTGTCACTCGGACCTCTTTGGCCGGCACCTCCTCGCAACTCAGCAGTGTCAATGCGAGCTTCACCGCTTTTCCGGCCAGTGGATGGTTGAAATCCACCAACAATCGCCGGCCTGGCGCAAGAAGCGCGGGATGGAGACCAAATGCAACCACTTCCAAAACCTCCATCTTCACCAACCCAACCAGCAGTCACCAACGAAAAAGGGCTGAACAAGTGGCCGCTGGGCCGTGCCTTGCCGCTCTAGCACCTGGCCCATCCCCTCCTCCAACTTCACCAGCTTCCCCACCTCCGCCTCCTGAGGGCGAGGCCAAGCAGAAACAAGCACTGGCGTCCTAACACTGGTCGACATGGACAAGATGTTCCATCTGATGTTTGTTTAGCCCGAAATCAACATGCCTGCCATCAAATCATATCAAATCATCAAGAGAGCGCTGTGAAATTCCCATGAGCCAAGTCCATGATGTGCCCCTTTCGATAGTTTTGCAAGCAACCCACCGAAATCCAATCAACGACTTCAAATAATTTCACAGAACTCTGAGACTCCGAGGGAAGCAAGTTGATCTGACTAGTTTTGGGACAGTGATAAACCTTTCAACATGGCAAAGAACCCAATGCACCTGGCCTTTGTATGCTGACCCTCAGTTTGGATAGAACAAAAACATACAAAAACCAACCTCTACCTGCTCGGTTGTCCACAGTCCGTCACCTATCTCCCCTGAATAAAGTCAAAGGTCAAGACTCGATAGGTTATCCGTATCTCTAGGTCTGCTCAACTGTTCACAAAATAATGAAAGGTCGACATATTGTCAAACAAAGCACTGTTACTCCCTGGAACCCAAGAATGAATATATATACTAATTATGATGTTTACCTAATTTTCCAGTGTAGTTGTCTAACACTTTATCGTTCAGTGGTTGAGTCACGACTCATCTGCCGAGTCTCCCCGTTGATCCACCGCAGCTTCCGCGCCGCGTAGCGCCCGAAGAGCGGCTCGTCCGTCCCACAGAGCACCTCGCGACGGTCGCCCAGCGCCATGCCGCGCACGGCGCGGTCGATGGCGGGCGCCACGTCGTTGGAACCGACCACGAAGTCCAAGGCGGGGTTGAAGTCCACCAGGCCGGGATCCTCATCGAAGTCATAACCTGGGTAGATGTGTTTTGGTATGTGTTTGGTGCAAAAGAATGGGGAAACCAAGGACCAAATGAGGCTCCCTCTGACACTTTAGCTTCGATACGTCAAAAAACCCTTTGAGGCGAAGTTGACGTATCATATATACCAGGTTTGCCAGTTCGGGGAGATCTTCGAGGCCTGGCCGAATCCATGTCCTCGCTTGCGTCTCTTTCCGACAGGTCACCAATCTTTGCTCTTGTCTTGGTAACCAACCTTCGCTTTTCTGTCTGGGCATTCACTTCCTCTGGAGCCCTGACCGATTTGCTTTACACATACTTGTCATACATCAATGTGCAACCGGACAGTCAAGCTACTGAGCCAAGGCTATTTTAAACTGCTGGGCGCCGCCAGCGGTTCTAAGAGCTGGCATTTACGGTGAGCGACTCCGGCTCTTCATCATAGATCCACTGTGAACACGACCGGCGCTGCATTGGAAACAAAGCCCTACGAAGTACACAGAATTCGTCCCAAAGGCCCTTCAACATCTCAGGCTTTGAAGGCTTGGACTGGAGAGCTTGGCTGAAAACAAGGCTTGCAACTGACATGATGTCTGCAAAACCATATGGAGCGGAAGCATCGTGCCCAAATGGGTCAGCTGACACCATTTTGGGGGCATCCTATTGAGTCTCTTCAGTGCGTATTTCTGGGTGTTCCCGATTCTGAACGAGACGGCTTTCCGCCACCGCCGCACCCCTTCACCCCTTCCAGAGGCTCCCTAAAGGCTCGCTCTCGTGATTTCACCATTGTATAGCAAGTGTTGTCTGGCAAAGAAACATGTTGCCATTGGTATGAGGAATGAAGCCCATACGACCCGGGAGCGGTGGAACGAAGCAGTCGCAACCATTCCCCCTTTGGCCGAGCTGCTTACACCCACACGCACCCTCAGGCCCTCTACCGCCGTGTCTCGAGCGAGGCGGCCCAGCCGGCTGCGCCGGTGCTGGCGGCGCCCCAAGCGGCGGCCAAGCCGCACCCGATCGATGAAGCAGCGAGAAGTGCAAACTGACAGGGAAGGCAACACAGGACGGAGCGTGTGGTACAGCTCATGGACTAACATGGAACCCCATCCATTCACTGGGCTCATTGAGGACAATTGTTCGCTATATATGTGGCTTAATACATGGGCTCTGGCAGTTTGTGGGAGTGTCAATTCCCACCACGGCGCCAAACCTCTCTTAGGTTTCTGATGTGCCATGCAACATCCTTCTTGAATGGCACCACCTACATTGACAGCCGCCAAGCAATTAGTCATTTGGAGCGTAGCAAAGCTATAACTAAACACCCACTCAAGAACCTTGGCACAACTATGCACAACCTCACAACACATTCTACGGTTAAAGGCCACTTGACGGTAGTTCTGATAATAGCATGCCCAGTTGTCTGATCTATTGTGACAAAGCACAAATATATTCTCGAAACCCCCGGATCCTGCCAGAATCAAACCCGCCCATAGTGCTGGACATCGCATCTCCAGAGCTTCTCTTTCAGAGCTTCTCTTTCAGGCTGTGAAGATTTGTGGCGGAGACAGAGAGGCTCCTGATACTTCCTCTATACAGAAAGAATCGTTTTGAGGGAGCACGTCACGTAGGGTTGGCTATTTAGATGTTACTCCAGCTAACTGGAACAGTGACCTCATATAACCCCTGTGGAGCAGTTGCAAAAATCATTGCCACGATTCCAAAATCTTATTGTACGTCCGGGGCTTTGGGAGTCGGGTTTTCGTTGAGATCAGTGGGATTTGGCCAGATGTGAGGCTGAAGACAAAGTACTTGATGGAATTGTGGCTCTGGAAAATGATTCAAATACCAGCAAGGAGACTGACTCCTTCCACTCCTTGAGCCATGTCCGCACTTGTTCAACAAGACTATCTCGGAAGTACATGGAGGTTCCGCTCTTGAGGCCATTGCTTCAAAAACTTGGTCACGCGCCGCGTCTCCAACTCATGATGTCGACTCCCCAAATCACGCCCAGCTAGCTGCATCACACTCAAAGCACCATCGGATCAACTCGACCTCTGAGAATTCGGCATTGCTTGGCCGCAGGTTTCGACCAAAAATACCTGGAGTCCGAATCTGGCTGCGCTAGGAGGAAGGGTTTTGGATGGTTTTGGTTTCAACCAACGGGCCCCGGGTTGAATAGGCAAAAGGTCGCCAATTCCGCAATCGAAGTCACACCAATTCCATCCAAGTCAAGTAACCCATTGGTCACCCCAACTGTGCAGAACACCGTCCCGAGCTCGATTTTCGACCTGTTTCCGCGGAGTCCATTAGCGTGGGCCCTGTGATTCAAGCACTCGGGAAGCGTTGCACTCCTCTTTGTGGGGGGACTCTTTAGGGTCTTTGTGGGGTCGCGCAGACCCCACAGAGACCTCGCAACCGGAGATGTTCATATACTGTATCACCTACAGTTGCCAGAGATGATCCAATTTCGCACCATGAAGCATGCATGGGGCAAGACGGCGGGTGAAAAAAACTAGTAGCAAGGACGCTACTAGTAGCAAGGTGCCTTACTACTAGTAGCAAGAAGCTACTAGTATATAACAAGGTGCATCGCTACTAGTAGCAAGGAGGTGAAAAAAGACCTCTTACCTGACCCCTCTCGACTATTCACCCACCATGTGAAAACGCAGGAAAACGCCATCGTTGAACGATGCGTACACTTCTCCAAGAATTGTACGTTTTGCTTAGGCTTGCCTGATCTTATCTGATATGGTGTCTCTACTACGCATGTCCATTCTTTCTCTTGGAAGCCATCGCTAGGCTGCTGACTTCCTCAGAAAGAAGACACACATTGCGGCTTGCATCAGATACCAAAATGGGAGAATTGCGCTGCTGCGTCGCTACCATCTTGGAAGTTCCCAGGAGCTTAGCAAGCTAGCTTCACCTGAGGCTTTCGCGCAGCTTTGGCGCTTGCGTCGTATGTCTCACATTGGTATCGAAGGGCCTGAAGCTGACACAAATAATTGCGACTCACTGCTTATGAGATAAGTCTCAGACTTGCGCTGACGAACACAGCAACATGATTGAAACTCCGCAAACATATTTCCAGATGAAAGAGTCTTGTAGCAACGAGTTGCCGCATAAAGCTGACTCAGATCAACATCTCCCAATATGACAACCGTGACAGGTCGTGAGTCTCAAAAGAGGACCCACAGGTAGTGAGGCTCTGGAGGTAGTGAGAAAACATGAGAAACGTACAAACCCACAGGGCCAGGTGGGTCAATCCCAGTGAAAACATTGACATCTCTGACATCTCTCACGGCTAAAATGCACGCAAGTCTGGTCGAGTGCGTCCATAGCGCAAGTCTTTATAACTCAGAGAAGGTGCTTGTTTCGTGTGTTTTCCACCAGAGACCCTCACTGCGACGCGCCGGGTGCCGGGCCAACAACCCTTGGATCGACAGTCCTGCCCCAAGGGGTGGGATCCCAGCGATAATGACAAAACTACTATAATGAGTAACTACTATAATAAGTAACCTTTAAAAGGTTGGATTGTCCTTCACTGCGCTATTAGATTTCACATCCAACCTTTTAGCGCTGTGAAATCTAATAGATTCCAAAAGGATCGTCCATGATTCAATTCTCGTCCCATGCTGAGGCCTCTCGAGTGCTGTTAACGTGATTCTGACGAAACCAGCTTTGTTTTCTTAGAGACCACTAGAAAAGGAGATCCTCATGATCCTGTTCAGACATGTTCAGGCCATGTTGTGTATCAATAGATTGAGCTGCATTAAGTTGTTGCTGAAGGCTACAGCCTGTAGTAGAATGAAGTGAGATATTGTCCTCAGCATTCTCAGGAACAAGGGCTGAACTTGACATCTTGCTTCATGTACTATTGGCGTCTAGTGGCTGTTGGCGTCTACGGTGGTCGCAGGGTGTCACCGGTCTTCACCTGCACAGCCTCCGTGTGGTGAAGGCAACTGAGTTGAAAGCCTTGCCATACCTGGAACCCATTTGACCTCTGTTTTGATAGGGGAAAACATCATATTTCCATAGTTACCGGGGTCACCTCAGGTTTTAGGTATGTATATGTTCCTGCAAGATGAAAAGCTTATCCAACGGGCACATCTCCTAAACAATCCTCAACCTTTCATGTCACATGTTCTGTACGCCCCACGGTCCACCAGCACCTTTGGGATCTCTGAGATGGATCATCAAAGATCCGACAACCCACTCCGGCGATCCACGACCGGCGATCCACCAGCTGTTGCATGGCACACTGGCTGCGGCGGCCGTCTCAGGTCTCACTATACTTGTCTGGCACGGTTGGTGAATCGAAGCCCCAGGTACGCCACGACCTGGCCGATGAGATCCGATGGTTTTGTTTCGAAACCACCAGGAGCTCCCACCGCCCAGTTGAGCCGATGGCATTTGGCCGATCAGATTTGTCAAGCCAAGACCCGCGCAGGGAGTGTTTGACAGACCGACGACACGCTGTTTTTTCATCTTCAGACGGTTGCTGATTCACGACAACAACACTCGAACATTTAAAGATGCAAATATATATATATATACATGTTCAATTCACATTGGCGGCACCTCGATAAAGTCTTCAATCTCGACTCCAACACCTACAGCACCCTTATAATGAAGCTGAGGCGTTCACTCGCAGAACAGTGCCCTGGATGAGCAACACCATGATCCCCGTCCACCACCTAAGCACTCAAAGGCCCATGTGGTTCCTACGACACGCTATGCGTCGACGCAGCTGAAGAGCTGGGGAAGGGGCTCCGGTTTCGTAGAACCGCGACCAAATCTAGTACCCACGACCAGACCTTCAACCAGCTAGTAACTAGTAGGTGCACGAAAAGCATCGAACAGCTATATATAAGCATCTATAAGCAATGCGACCAGACTTTGACTCGAGAAGTGAGTACCTTCGACGGTGAGAAAGGATCCTAGGAGCGTCCAACATGCAGCAGTGAGAAGGTCTTGAACTGCAGGACATGTCCCAAAGCTCAAGTCTTCGAGTCCAAAGGACACCAACAGTTTCCAACGATCGATCGAGCGAGTGCCTGCAGAATGCACAAATGCAACAGCTGATCGGCCTGTTCTAGCTGAACTGAGGAATCAAAGGTAATCACAGCAGGTACACATCAGGACGTCCAACGCATCACCAGCGAATGTGGACGTCTTCGTTGGCAGTGATTCCACAAACTCTGTCACTGTCCCTTGCTGTTTCGAACAGAATCCGAAGATACCCATGACTCCAGAGCTGGGCGCACACAGGATAAAAGCGTGTCCCATTCTTTAACCCTCTTCTACCTCAACTCCCGGAGTATTGACACGAAGTCACAGGTACCAGTTCTGGACTTTACGAGAGCGCTACTGAACAGGTTCAACTCCTCCAAAACCCCACAACATCCCATAACTGTATCAGCTATATTATAGGCTCGCAAACAAATGATAGGCCCAATAGCACGAAATGATAGGCACATAAATTAAACCGTAGTGGATCTTCTTTGCATGGCGATAAGAAACACACCGCATGAGGTGGCTTGCGAAAGACAGACTGATGAAAGACTGTAACGAGACGGCTGCTAACTCCGCAGCTCGGCGACGCGCGATTGGCCGTTTCACTGGCGTTTCTGCTGTTTCACCCTCCCGGCGTTTGTACAAAATCGTAGGCAGCCCGGCGAGTCATCATGGACATCTAGCAAGTAGCGGGCCCTGCCAGGGATGTGCAGCCCACTAGGTCCCAACCCTGAGGAGAGTAACTCTGGGTTGGTGGTACGGAGTCATGCCAGACTCCTCAGACAATGCTGTCCTGGTGCTTCGGGTCCACTTGTGGGAGCGTGCACAAAGCTCGTGCTTGGTGCATCTCTCACTTGATGCTGAGGAACAACAGCAAAACACTCTTTCAAACATCGTGAAACACTCTCCTTGCATCCATGTGAGCATTGGACAACGACCCCGAACACTCTTTTGATTTCACACACCTCCACACATGTTTTTCGCGCGAAACTACATACCCCACGTTTCGAGCTCTCCGAGTCCCAACCCGTGTGGCTTTTCCGGTCTCCGATCACCGAGGGCTGCACTTAGAGTAGGACTCGGAGAACCTGTCGCGTTGGAAACGAAGTCTTTCGGACCCAAGGACCGAAGGACCGACTGCTGGGATACATCTATGATACATCTATGTCCGATCCCCCGTCACCAGGCCCTTAGATGATTGAAATCTCCTACTGTAAGGTATCTCCCAAGTTAAGATGATTTAAGATGTAACATCTATGAACATCTTACAATTTGATCTCTGTCCCTTCTAAACTAACTACCTCGATCTTACGTATCGGTCTTGGCTTTGTTTGTCGCATCCGGTCATCTCCCATCACTGGGAGACCCGTTCGGGTCTCTGTTAGCCCGAGGAGCATCTCAAGCTGCCACTTGTCCGTGTCGTTCAAAAACTGCGGATCTGGAGGATACAGACGAATGTACGCCTCACTTCGGCCAGAATCCAACCGAAGACAAGTCGTTCGTTTTTTTCCCACCAAAACAAAACCGATGATGGAGGACTTCGGGCTTCATTTCGTGAAGGCGAGGCTTGAGGCCTGGCTAAGAATCTGGCAAGAAAGCTCATTGCAGCACTCCAGCGAGTAAAGGAGATGCTGTCAACCTGGTTGGGATGAGTGCTTTCTATCAGGAGCTTGCATGCACTTGCAACTTGGACTGTGGCATGCCAAATCTGTGACACTAGATGCTCAATCAGTGCACAGTATATATAGGTATATATAGGTCATGACTTGTGGGTCGACGTGTCGGATGTCTGGCAAACTGACCTGTATTTCGATGCAAATAAACTGACGCCAAGGTCCCTCCGTCCCGACGAATCGTACAGATCAAGGTCCACGACCGGGTTGTGATGAGGCCGAATCGAACACGCTGACATGTGCAGCTGCGGTCATGGCACCCGTTGCCCATTTCACCCTGCTAAGTTGACCTCCTCAGTCGGTTGGATGACCTAGTCCGCTGGTGCCGCGGTGTCACTGTCCGCTGGGTGTCGTGCAATGACCTCCATCAGCCCACCCTTCAAGAAGACACTCATCTGCATGGGAAGACCCAG